GTGTGCGAGTAAATGAGGAAGAAGTAAGGGCTTTTTACTGGTGGTGGACTCTGTGTACGAATTAGCTTATATAAAATTGTGGGAGACCATCAAGGTCTCCTCTACAGCTAATTCTTCTCCACTCTCTGAGAGTACTGAGATGTGGCAGGTTGAAAAGAACTGCAAAGTATCTTCATTTTGCTGTTGACACTAGGAGAAGCCAGCAAAGAATCACGTATTCCCCGAGAAACCAAAACATCTGTTGTCTGTGAGAAGAGAGCACCAGGATGAGAACAGGGACTGAGGGGTCTCTACAATCTTGTCCACACCGGCAGTGGCTACAATGCTAACTAATTGGAAAGAGGCCCATTCATGAGCAAGCGAAGGAGGGGCATCTGCGTGGCAAGCCAAAGAGGAAGGAAGACAGACCACCTCATTCCCACAGGATGAGGGGGAAAAAAGGAAAAAAATAACAAGAAAACACCAACCAAAAAAAAAAAGAAAGAGTTGGTCCCCCTTTTCCCTCCCTCTCACCCGCCTTTCCTCTGTAGCTCTTCCAGTCCCAGACTCCAGACTAGCTTCATCCTTGTAATTTAGATTAATTTCTTCCACATTTTCCTCAGGGATTAGGCAGCAACCCCCAGCACTCCTACCCCCAGCATACACACAGCATGCATGCACGCACACCCAGCTCACCCCCTACCATAGTTGCTTAATGCTCTCATTATTGAACTTCTTTCCACCAAATATAACTTCACCCTACCCCCAACCTTCGCACAAAAACAATCACTCACAAATGTAAAACCTCTCAACTGAGATCAGTGTGGATAGCTTGATATATGATTCCACTTATTATATAAAGGAACCATTATGTCTCATTTTCAGCTTTATTTGGTTCAATACTAAGAGTCAACTCGGAATTATTATTGCTGTTTTCAAATGCCGTCAACCACGCACTGCAATAAACATCCTTTGCAGCAATTACTAGCCAAAGTGGTTTGTCACGGAAAGATGAACCTCTTTGGCATCTTTAAAAGGTTTCTCATAAATAAAAGGTAGACGTTGCCTTGGGAATAATTATGGAATTAGGGATAACAAAACAGCTGCTATAATAACAGATACACAGTGAACATATAAAAGGCAGTGACTATTGTCAATACACAAATTAGCCATGGTCTTTGACAACTGTTCACTGAGTCGCAGCAGGCAAATACTGGCAGACTTACTGTAACTCAGGTGTTATTTAATGCCAGTGAGTCACTCTGGGAGTAGACGCAAACATTCCTCAGCCATACCGGGAAAGTAAAGCAAAGACACATTTGCTTTACGACTATTACGTTTTAAATATATTTACATTGATCAACAGTTAATTACACTTTCCTCTTCAATTCAAAACGGCCAGTCCATCGCATCACGTACAGTAAGTACTAACTGCTGGCCTAGATGACTTTAAGAGGCCACATTTGCCTCTGTTTGTTTTCTTTGGGCTTTTCTTGATTTTCTGCATTTTCTAACACACATATATTATCCATTATATGCCCCGCCCCCACCCCATCTGTTTTCTTTCTTCCCAAAATATTTTTTTTCAGTTGTTTTCATTTACAAGTAAAATCGCAGGAGTGAGAACATTATCAGACTGGAAACAAAGAACTGCCTTCTGCCTGTGTGTTCTACTGAGCCCTGCAGTAACTAAAACTACATGCATATACACACATTATTCCACATCTTTGCAAAACATTTTAAATTGGAAAAAAGCTGAATTTTGTTTGGGTAAGTTGCCACATGTGTCATAATGAATAATACAGTAACAAAATAGAATTCATCTTCAGTCTTGATTAAACATAAGAAGCCTTTTTCTTTCTAGAGAAACTATTATGTAAGGTCAGTTTCTATTAGTAATATTAATATGGGTATTTCTGTGATTTTTTTTCTATAACCAGTATATAAAAAAATAGTTTGACTCCAACACAAAAGAACTTACTCCCCACCCCCTACTCCAACGAGTCGACGACAGTGAACGGAACAATGTCACAGAACTTGAGGCTAGCCTTAAACTACAACATCAACTCATTAAAGGTGCAATTCCTCTGCTGTTAAGATCAGATTCAGTACACTTACTTCAGTATGATTTATTTTATTTTATCCTGGTATGTTCTTGTGCTTTTCCCGGCACTGATGCAGACCATGTTGCATCAACTTTTATCAGAATGCATCATCTCTAATACTTTTAGTCAACTCGCTCTTCATATAGCTCCTCATTCCTCACACTTATTCCTCAGTGGCACCAAAATGGCACTATTAATCATGTAAAGACCGGATTGTTCCTATTTTTGTCCAAATGAGAGACACTTTTTTATATCAAAATGATCATCTGGGTTGTGCGTTTACAGGGCCAGGCGTGTTTTAATTCAGATTCCTGCACTACTACTCTCATCTGTGTGACTTGTCACTTATGACATGGAACGTTAAGGCTATGTTTTAACTCATAAAGTGGTTTCAGTGGTTGGGAGCTGCAAGCAAGCGATTAGTCTGACTGCAAATGAGCCTTAATGTACAACAGATTTCAAAGACAGGGAAGGGAAGCGGTTAACTAAAAGGGTAATTGTAAAGTTCTAAGTGTCCTCGAAACAAGTTGGGCAGAAATCTATAAAAAATTTTAACAGTAAGAGCATACAGTCAACTTGTTAGGCTAATAAGTAATAAAAACCAACAAAAAGATTGTCAAACAATGTTTAAAAAATGGGAAATATCACATCAAGTTGGCTCCTTTTTGGCCGTTTTTTCTCTCTTACAGTTTCATCCTGTGACTTGGTTTGACCTACATGGAAAGGTCATTCAGTCAGAGCTGGAATAGAATACAGCTACAGTTCAGTGAATCTGGAGTTGACAAGTAGCCTTGGGCATCCTAATGAGGTCTGAAGATTATATTAACATGTCAGATATAATCTCTAATATCTATTTTTTTTGAAAGAAAAAAGTACATGAGGTCCTCTTCTTTCATAAGAGAAAAAGAAGCGAAGGTAACAGGTAAGTGCAACAAGTCTATGCTCGCCTCCTTTTCCCAGCTACATTAGGCGTGTCATAAGAGAATTACTCACACGGTCTCACAGTTGAGAAGAAAACGTTTGACCAGTTGCGATGTTGCCTGTGTTTTGGAAAAACACGCACAAGGAATTAAACAAAGCCGTTCAACTGTTGTCTAACTGAAGACATGATCATTTTATATGTAAAATCAGGTCAGTTTAACAACTCTGCTGATCATCTGACCAGCTCCAACTTTGTGAATGTGCCCAGTTAGAATTGATTCTACTGACAATAAAAGATGGGGGGGAAAAAAAACAAATGGGACGTGTGTACTTAACAGCTCACATCTGCCAAAACAAACTTTGTGATGTGACAAAGAGACGGCATAAAGAAACAAGGTCAACCTCCAATCAAATCCTCAGTGCTTCCTCAACCATTTTCAGCCTGTCATCAAAGGCACTAAAAACAAATTAAAAAAACTCTTCCTCTTTCTCTCTGCTAAATTTCACCCATACCTCCTCCACCCATTATCTACCCTTTCAGGGCCAAGCACACAAGCTAACACGAGTAACTGAAGGCAGTTAAAGTCAACTGCTGTGAGGGCAGCGAGCCACTGCGTTGACAGGTCTGGTTAAACAGGTTCTGAGGGGAGAGGCTGATACTTGTTTAACTGCAAGGTAGTTGCTGCTGCTGCTGCTGCTGCTTCCTTTATAACCTGTGGCTTGGTTTTTGGGAAATGTTCGTTTCACCCACTGACCCCAAAAGCTAATATAAAACATAAAGAGAAACACTGATGTCATATTTTTGTGCATTTCAGTGCCATTGTTATACCTTTCAATTCAGCTATATGTTCTATGTTGATTCATATAAGTGTTACTCCTACGTATGAGGGGCCGTACAAGCCAAAATTCTTTCTTTCAAGCTGCAACACTTGCACCTGCAAACTTTTTTTTTACGTGCGCTCAGAATAGTGGCACAAAAATAACGCCATAGATAGCTTGCTGAAGAACTCGAGTTTCTTCTCCTCCCTCCATGCTGTCAGACACTTGAAAGTGACCTGCGCGTGCTTCTCAGCCAATCACAGCGGTACAGACACCCAGCCTTCCGTTTCCACTATACCCTTTCATTCACATACATTATCCTCTTGCATACATATATTTTCTTCAGACATGTATGCATTCTCTTCTTACATACATATATTATTTGTGAGATTAAATGCATATTGAATGAATGTAAATGAGAGCAAAATGTAGGAATGCATAAATGAAAATGCACATGTTAGAGTGAAAATTTGTAAATATGTACATTAAAATACGTGTATAAGAGAGCACAATATTGCAATTTGTGTGTTAAATGTGTAAACATGAGAATAAAAATATCTAAATATAAAAATTAAAATAAAACTATGTGAGAGTGAAAGTATATTTATGTGAAAGAAGAATGTGTGTGAGAGTGAAAGAATGAATTTTGGCTTGTACGGCCCCTCATACTACGTGAAACATAGATGAACCTCTGAAATTAGCAAGGCCTGAACAGACAAGTGATGATGAAACAAGTAGACAGTTCTGCATAACTTCCTTTTCTCTTAACTAAATTCTTTGCTGCAGCCACAAATTTGCATCTCATTATTCCCCAAGAAACTTGCAAGCAGGCTTAATGGCACTTAATATCACACCTGCTCCAAACATATGTAAAGGAAATATTGGCAAGCTGCAGAGGATAGACGTTGAATGCTGAACTGTTAATACAGTCGATTCAATAGTTTTCCAAGTTTAACATAAACAACCCATTTGTCCTCTCTAAGCTGCACTTCTTTGTTCATCACATGATGTACTTTTGAGGTCTGTGCTTTTACTGAGCAACACAGCTTATTTGTGAAGCTAAGTGAGAGCACATAATGATGGCTACTGTTCTCATTAGTTTAGTAGGGGATTTTCTTTGCCGTTTATTAATAGGAAAGTTTTTCAACACATGACTTAACCATCATCTGTGTGATATTGCTGAAAAAAAGAGGCTACAGAACAAAAGTGCTATCCATTAAGAAAAAAAAGTAAGTGCGTGGCCTAGGCAACATTACTGACTCACTAAATCAGGCTTGAGGCTGTCATTTATTTTTTTTCCTGAAACTTTAAAACAGCATTTTTTTTTTTAAACATATTTTCAAAAATGTATATCATCCCCACTTTCTAAAGTCTAGTTTATAAAAAAAAAAAAAACCTAACTGATTTACAAAAGTTTAACACATCGTCATAAAAAGTTAAGCTATGCACCAAACTGATACCATTATTTACACAAGCCCATTAAATTACAACATAAATTAGAAAATATTTACATCCAGGACAAGACACTGGATAAAATTCTATGCTTGGAATTTAATTTCTAAAAACATTTTTTAAAAGAAATATTTACATTTACGCACGCATTCTCACAACCAACACACAACCTGGCAGAAGTGAGCTTGTTGGTAGCTTAGTGTCAATTTGGATGTTGTTTTAATGAATAACTTGTTCACAAAAAATTAATAAGTAAAAGCAAACAAACAAAAATTCTCACGACTATGTACTGTATGTGTTGTAAGACTGAGTAACAATGGATCCATGGCAACGCCGGTAATCCACAAACACTGAGGAGGCTTCTGTCATAGCAAATTCAAAGTGCCCCTGCTATGCATTCTGGGATTTTATCTCTCATGTAGTCTGTAAAATCATTTTTGCACATGAGAAAAAGGGTTTGCAAAGTCCACATCAAAGCGAGTTATTCTCTCCTGCAAAAAACAGTGCTGCTAAACTGCTTGAAATGCATAATTTGAAGTCCAGACTTTTCTTTTTGTTATTTACATCACTATGTAACATGGTGCCATAATGCACACCTAGCAGCTAGTTTGGCATGCAGTCAAAAAAAAAAAAAAAAAAAAAAAAAAAGAAAAAGCAGTCAACTAAAACCTAATGCAGCCGCTAATACTGAGTGTTTCAGAGGGTGAAGAGATGTGCTGTAGCAGTATACAACCACAAAAATAAAATAATGAGCCTCTAAATTGGCATAGTGGGGGCACTTTAAAGTTTTTGGTTTCTGAAAGAGCACAGGCTGAGATGAGAAAACCAACTGTCTTTTCTCATCTAGCTTCAAAGCTTCAAATCAACTCCCATGAACAAAAACACAATAACACTGGATCCATTCTGAATTAATGGTACAACTAAAGCACAAAAATAAAGAAAACTAAGTAGATTTTCTCTCACACATAACTGTCCTTTGCAAGTCAATTGAGACACAGGAAATAAGTGGATTTGCCCCCAGACTGAGCAGGATGGAGAAAACTGAGAGGAATTCACAGCCACAGAAAGTCATCTTGAAATGATGTCCTCTAGGGAAGATGAGGAAAAAAAAAGAGAAAGACAAGGGAGGTGGAAAAATAGTCACAGAATGCATTTTGTTTCCCCTCTTCTTCTTCGACAAAATGCAGGCCCTGTGGTTATAGCAGTAGGCCACTAGCAACTGTATGTAAATGCATAGTGGTTAGCATGATGCGGCATGTATTAATCCCCTTTTTAGGCATGTACTCCTTGCTAGGAATTTAACAGTATTTTATCGCATTACTTTGGTGTATGAATGCACACCCTGGTAACTTCTCTGTAAAAGTCATGGCTGTAGTTTCACTAGCTTATGACAAATAGCAACTGTGCTAAACAGCAATATGAACATAAAGGTATACTTTTTTCCTTTTCTCCCCGACTTGCATGCATCACACAGACCCTGCTGTCCGTGGCAAATGTAGAGAGAACTGAATGCACAAACCTTACCAGTTCATAATGGCAGGACTGAAAAATAACATATGCCTTGCTGCTCTCCTCTTCCTGGTTTGTGTGAATAAAGGCAAGACAAACATTAATATAGAAGTGAACTATCACTAAATGACAATCCTGTTGCTTTAGCAGACAGAAGAAGCCACACATGCCATGTCTGAAAAGGGCTTTACTCTTTCACAGAGCGGACTCCCATTAGGACCAATCCAGAGCATTCAACACACATGCCAACAGTAACTGATTTGTAGCCTGCTGTGACAGGCTGTTAAAAATCCCCAACCTGTCAAACTATAAATTTACAGTGTGAGCACACACATTCACACACAAATGCAGCTCTCAAAAAGACAATACCAAATATTGATTTTTTAAAAAGGTCCAAAAGGGAAGTCAGGGCAGCAAGATTAAGGGACTCTGGGAATCTCAAGTTCATAGGGATTCTCCTTTAAGCTCTCATTTCCTGTGCTTGTCCATTTTGTCAGTAGATTTACTTCCACTGTCTGAGGATCCCTGGGTGTCGCTACCAGAGCTCAGGTACATCTTGTCCACTTGTTTGAGCGCTTCGTTCAGGTAGTTCTGAAGCGAGGTCATGGCAGCACAGATGGCTGGAGAGCCAAAGCCATGAGTGATGAGACTGAAGTGAGTCAGGCAGCCTTGGATTCCAGGTTCCAGAATGGGAGCGGGCCTAGCGTTGCCCAAAGGTGAGCGGTCCTGAGTGAGCAGATCGGTAAACTCTTTGCAGATTTGCCTGTAGGTAGAGAAGCAGAATAACTAAGGATGTGAAATATCTACAGATTTGTGACCTAATTGGAAAATGGATAACACTTCAGATAATTTCGAAAATACAGCTTTCTATTGATCAAATACTATAAAAGCAGCTTTTGAAAAAGGTTGTTTTGCTACATCCCACTTTGCTAGGTGTTTAAATGCATGTAAATTAAAACAATGATTGAAAATACACTTACTTGGCAGCAAGGAGCATGTTCTTGCGCGAGTTAACCTCATTCCGCTCCACATGTGGCCTACCCAGGTATTCAGCAATTGCCTTTGCAGGGAATTCGGTCTCACACACATAACCAAAGTCTCTTGCTAAATGAACAGCTTCACCTAAGACAAAAAAGAAAAAGATAATATTACATATAAGAAAAAAAGCTAAACAAAAACAGGTTTTCTGTAGATCCAAGAAAACACTCAAGTTGCAACTTTATTGCTAACCACAAATTAATACTTGTGAATAAATATATTACTAATACATATTAATATTAGTCTTTAGACAGATATTATAACAACATATCCTTTGACATACTAGATTGTTCTGCTGCTGGACAGCTTAGCAATTTATTAGTTTAAGAGCATTACATGAATAGTCCCATTTTCAAACAGATATACACAAGCATGAAGGCACAAGACGTGAAGCAGCTGAACTGCAGAATAATCATCTGCAGTCATTCTCCTAACTCTAGGTAAGAAGAGCTATGCAGATTGATACATTTTTGTCTTCGGGGTGGCTCGACTTGCATGTTCATAAAGGGTTTATGTGAATAAATGCTACCAAAACTGGCCCCGAGATGCCAACAACACCGCTTATTGATAGACATGTACAAGTCTTCAAATGCTGCCAGCTATTCAGAAGCACAAGCTTTAAGGTCAGCTGGCCCTCCTGGCAAGCCGAACACAAGATAACAAGGCTTAATTCAGCTTTGAAGGTCTCTAAATAACACAGGCCTCCAGTCATCTTCCTGCACAGAATCATCACCCCATTTATAAAAATTCGGCATGTGGGGAGTGAGAGAGGGGGAAAAAAAATAAAAAATCTTTCTATAGCCAGCGGCAGGTAAATGTGATTAAAGTGATACTGGGATGATAGTAGAATTAAATGTCACAGACTGAGGTATGACTGCCGTTGTCGTTCAAACTATACAGCAACAGAAAACAGTCACAATAAAAATCAGGGCTGTATGGCCTGGTAGTATTCTTTCCATCAAAAGGAACAATTAATTTCCCCTAACACAACTGAGTTTCAGAGGTGACTTTGCACACTAGGTAATACAAGACAACATGCTCAATGGAGTAACAGAATTAGTGCTGAGGTTTGTTGGTTTTTTTTAGTATTTCGGATGGAAATAGTCATCTCAGTCTTTTATACACGAGTTCAGTCAACCTAATTTTGGCTAAATTTTCCAAACCACTATGACTCACCAAATAATGTGTAGCTGACAGTCTGGCACATTAAACACAGGAAAAAAAAGGTTGCAGCTACATTGCCTTTAGTTACCCTTTTCACAAGTGAAACACACATACCAATGCCAATACGCTGACATTCCCACATTCTCATACTACTAACGCGACATTCCAGCCACTGCAAACCGTAATTATAGTGCGAGAATTTACTGTGGGCAAATGACTGATGTGTCATACCTTCTACTAGTGAGGTAAGTAGAGTGACATTAGCTGCCTTCCTTCTTCCTGCAGGCAGGTTAAGCCCAATTTTGTCCAGCTTTTCTCTCAGAGAACGGCCTCCATTTTTTGACTTGGCTCTGTATGAGGAGAAAAAGAAATTGAGGTCATTCACACATCGTCTTGACATTTTCATCAAATTATCAGTGGAGTTTTAAAAGATTGTGTCATTTATGACTATTTATTTGATCCCCCTTGAGACCATAAATTAAAAGAAATACCAAGAGTTAGAAGATATGTACTGTACACCTGTGTAATACACATTCATGTGTATAGTCTCATCAAACACTTCTGAAAAGAAATTACAAGAAGATTCTCTTGACCTAAAATAAAATATTGAAACAATTCATGTTCCACTCAAAAGCACAGCAGAGAGGAATAACTCAAATGCATTTTCAGAAGCTCTTGAACTCTCCACTTGCCATAGCCAATTCAGTTTTCTGCATGACTGGCAGACAAGCTCTCCCCCTCAGTGGTCGGTGAGAAGGGGCGCATCTTTGGAGAGACATGTGTGTTTGAGTGCCCCCACCCCTTCTCCCTCTTGTCCCACTACTAACGATAGTCCTATTGCTGTGTGACCTACTTTTAAGAAAAAAAAAAAAAAGAGAGATTGTATATGTGGGTGTGTGGGTGCATGTCAGCATTAATACAGGCACATGGGAAGTGGTGAACGTGCACTCCAAGTACAAAATGCTCCACTCAGGAGTGTTAACCACGTACTGTAACCTCGAAGTCCCTCGACAGACTGCTGCACTACCATGTGTGCCATAAGGTCAACTGCTCTGACACAGTTTAACATTCGCAATCATGTACACAGGCACACAATAAACACAATAGGTAGGTACTAACAATGTTGATGCAACCTATCCCCAATGGAAGCACTAAACACAAAATTGCACACAACACAAAGAATGTCACAAACCTTGCAAAAAATAAAGAAAAGAGGAAAAATGATGAGCCGGAGCAACAGAGTCAAGCTGTGCTTTTAAAAAGAGCCTTTCCCATGGGCTACTAAGCTTTAGCCTACAGATCACTTGCTCCACGCCTTCCACAGCTTAATGATGGTTTATTTTTGAGATAAGAAAAGTCTTAACAGTTTGCAGAAACCAGAAATTTTGAACAACTGAAATCATTTTGGATTAGTTAATCCTATTTTTTGTGAATCAATAGAAATGTATTCACGTGTCATGTTAAAGATTTTCACGAACCACAAGGAAAAAGAAAATGCTGTCTAGCTGTGACGTGGAATGAGACCGAGCCCTGACCTGCGTAGAACGCCACCCAGGAGCGATGCGTTGAGGCATTCTGGGGGTGACAAACGTCTCTGGACTTCAGCCACAGTAACCTTGTACTTGGATGTGGAGCTCAGCAAGGAAAGACGGCCTGGTACGGAGCAAAACACCTCTGTGGGATTTGACACCATGCCCAGCAGGGACTCTTTCTGGAAGGGAAGACCCAGTGCGTTTCCTTTAGGCAGAGTGACAGGCCCTGGAGAGTGAGGAAAATAATGTTTGTAAGCTAAATACTAAAGTAGTGCAAAAGAACATAAAAACAGATTGTGGTTGGGCAGTCAGATTTGTTAATTACTGTCAATCTTTATTCCAGACTTACGGTCCATAAAAAATAAAAATAAATCAGACAAACCAATCTGTACGTTTCCTGTTTATGTGCATAAGCTCTGATCTTTCTGTGTCTTGTGCGGAAAAGCGAGCAGGAGTATGCGTGTGCTGCTCTCCCCCAATGAGGAAAGCCAGTCTCTGCTGTGCCAAAATATACAAGAAAAAAAAACTTCTAAAGCCTTTTGAAATGTGTGGTTTTGGAAACATCGGGTGCCTGATGGTTAAACAGCTATGATGCCCTCACGTCAAACACCATCCACAAACAGGTACGCACATACAGACCGTCCCTCATCTAAGCCACAACCTCGGAACCGTGAATTGATTGGTCTCACCGTCTTTGATCGAGCTAGACATTGTGATTTTTTTTTTTTTAAATGTCATCCCACAACAAAAGCACTGACAGACAAACAAAACAGTACAGCACACTACAAAACAAAACAGCTATCTTCATCCTCACCCGCGAAAATTCCCCCCTGATAATAAGTCCTCTGTAAGCGATCAAGGTTCCTGCCACCTCGAAGTCCTAATACTGAGACAGAAATGACAAAGTCACATCAGTGCTTTAAATCTCCTCTCCGGCAAATCACTGGGAATGACATGCCATTGTTTACAAGTGGAAACCCTAGATTGCCCATAGCGTGCCCTTGAGCCTGGGAACAGTATAATAAGCAATCACTGATTTACGTAACAAATGCAGACTGTTTGGTTTATTGCACTCTGCAAATGTCGTGCTGCTTGTTATGTACTGTAATATTGCAATATTACAAAGCAACCCTATAATTGCTAGTATGCTTTGAAAGAGTAAAACTTTGGCACTGTACTGCAAAATATGACATTGTCAGCAAATCAAAAACATCAATTTTACTTTGATGTTTAACATACATGTGAACAAGAAACTAAGGCGTGACGGTTACATTTTAAAATGAAACTTAACTCTACTTAAGCAAATTATATTTTCTACTTGTCCACATGAAGTTCCTTGGGTTCATCTTTCACTTTAAGTCTGTTTAATAGAGCCCTGATGACAAAACAGCAGGAATAAGTTTCTCCCTCAAAACAGTTCAAGTCTCAACAAATTACTAAACTGTCCTTCACATGCAAGCCTAATGCCACACCCACCCAAAAGCTGGTTCTGCAGAGCCAAACACAGCTTCAAGACCAACTCATAATTTCCTGCTAACATGAACTGAAAAGAGCTGCAATTGCGAGCTTAACACGCCTAAAGATGATCCAAAGCTTTGGAACTCACAGTCAACACAGTTTGTGAGATTGCTCAATTTCCATGTCATGTCAGCTGTAGCCTGATGAATATGAAAGGGGATCAGTTCTTTCCCACTGGGCATCCATTCAAGCACCTTCAACAGAATAGGCTAAGGATCACATCGGGCTTAAATAAGTGCATCGCATGGATTATCATTGTATGCAGTGTAAGTACAAACAGAAGACGCCTCCTTTCCTTACGCTCTCACTGAGTGCCCTGACATGCCACTATAGAAGTATGTCATTTCCAAGTATATAGAGTTCAACAAATGAAGGGCCAGCATTTTTTAGTAATTACCACATATTTTGTTGCACAAAAGCATTCCTCTTCAGTTTTCTTTTTTAATTGCTTTAACAGTTAAAAAGTAAAAAAAAAAAATTGTCACAACTCACCTTTTTTGATGACCGTCTGATCTGCCATAATTATACTGTGGTCGTCTACTTGCTGATAACAAAGAAAAGAAGCAGCAGTAAGTAAACACATACATTGCTCTGTTTTTATAAGATGCTTGAGCTAGACTATTTTTTTTCCTAAGGTGGGTATTTTCTTGATATTAGTAATCATCTTCTGTCTCTTTAATGCAAAGCATATAACATAATATATTACATTTTATAATAAAAAAAAATTTTAATACTACTGTACCTTTAACTTGGAAGCATTTTGAATATATGTGACCTTTGGTTATATTAACATTTAGGAGATTTTAAATCTCCATATGACAGGCGAGTGCAATAAAACACACTATAATGCATCCATTTACGACTTTTCAGTATATTCACTACTTCGACTGCATTCACACAAACATTTATGCACATAAGCCTCAGTCTTTGCGCGCCTCTGCCTCAAAAGTATAATGTCCAGTGATTATATAATTCACTTACTTGAACATCATCCAGTCCGTGTCCCATGTCATGCATTCCCATATTATCGCCAATAACCGACGACTCTAGACTGTGAGCGTGTGGAGACAGCAGCTCCGGTCGGCGGAACCCTTCCCTCCTAACCCCTGACGAGCCTCCCTCCAAGCCTAGGATCTGACTCGCGAGTCCGCTCCTCCCGTGTGCGCCGAGCCCCTCCTGGCCTTGCCGCCCAGGCCACGGCTGCTGTTGGTTCGACGATGGCGACTGGTGTATGGAGTTGATGTTGAAAGGGTCCCCGAGGTGAGAGTAGGGGTCACTAGACTGCGGGTACGAGATAGGCTGGTAGGGAGGAGGAAAGTAAGGGGGCTGGAAGTCTGAACTGGCCGAGTGTGAGAGGGAAGTAGACGGGCTGTAGAGGTGTTGACTGACCGCCGGCAGGTGAGGCAGCCGTGGGTTCCCATTGCTGTTACTATCGTGCCTTTCCTAAGGAATGGAGGAGACAAGGCGGCTGAGAAAGATGCCAACAACATGGCAGGTTGTCACTCAAGGAGATAAAATGTCAGATTATTCGCTGGCACGATGTCTACTGAAAAATGGGAATTAGACGGGATAAAACAATAACGGAGACCGTTAATTTGGAATTTTTCTTAGAACTTAGTGACCATTGCAAGCATATGCAAATATTCTCAGCAGCAATCAGCGTCTCAGATTATTGCAATATTATTATTATCATATTTTATTTTGTATATAGAGTAACAATAATAAGAACACGATCCCACTTTAATTTTATAAGGAATCATAGCCGGCTTTAACTCTGACAACGACATCCTGTTTTCACTGTTTCGCGAAACTTTACTCTAACTTTTCTCCCTTGGTTCAGCACATCATGCTGCTTCTAATGAGACCTTCCGAAATTTTACCGTGATTATTTCAGCCCAAAGGATTAAAAGTCAGCACCCACTTCTTGCCGTTAAATTCAGTGCCACTGATCTCACTTAGTGGAGGCCATCTCTTACGAAACTCACCTCACAGTCATCCTCGTATTTTACGTTGTCGGCTAATTTCCACAACATTTTGGCTGAGGAAAAAGTCTCTTTCTTGCAAATTAAAAAAAAATTGTAAAAGAAAAAAAATGGGGGAAAAAGAAGCCCGCGAGTTAATCCAGGTATGAAGAAATTAACAGCTTCCTGGTGGTCATGAACCCGCTTATTCTTCAGCTGCAGCAGGAGGCAAAGTTGTAGGCGAAGGCTGAAGGGCGAACTGACCTACCGACTGAGTATCCAACTACAGATATGAGTTTCCACAGCCACTATGAGAGAAAAATAATCGTTGTCAGGCAATATTCCCCCCCTTTCCTGCCAAGGCGCTCAGTACTTCTGTTGTGAAAGTGGGCGAAACCGGTTCATAAGAAACTTGACTCCCTCTTATGGACAAAACAGTGCTGTTCAGTCTTATTGGTGCAAACATGAGCATTTCACTATATCTGCACAGCCACTTACAGTGGGCGTCACCCTGTCCGATGATGTCAGTGAATTGGAAAAATAAAAAATAAAAAATAAATCCTGATTGGCGGGGTGATTGTCCAATCAAAATTCGGTCCGTCTGTAGCGCGTCTTTGCACGGCGTCAAATATTAAAAGGATTAAACATTCCCAGTGTAGTCTATATCCATTTTCCTCACTCTCTTTTTTCTTGCAGCAAATGCTGCTTCTCATTAACACCTTTACTTCTTTTATCTCCTCGGGCCCATGGGTAGTTGAACCTTTAATTTTACAGGGCACTGTGTTGTGTTTAATGATTATATTCTTGGGCTTTAAAGCGATTCATTGGGCAGAGCTCTGTTAGCCAGTCACCACAGAAATAATTTCTTCAGTTTTATATATTTACAAAATTGCACTTTACTGAACTGCAGGACAATGTGCTCATGTAAAATATTACGACTATGAGACAGAACCTGTGAAAACGTTGCAGTTACTGCTGTACGTTAATGAGAGCTTCTTGACGAGACCTTGTAATGTAGAATACGCAGGCTTTACACAATGTATTGCCTCTAGAGACCAATCACTTTGCTCGGTTTGAGCTGCTAATTTTAGTAGCTTTCTCATGAGAACGTCTTAATTTGAGGTAAAAAACAAAAAAACAAAAAAAACAAAACAAAAACAAAAGTTAACATTCGTGTTCTTAAAACCACCACCACTAAAAATAAAACCCATTATTATTAGTAGTAGTTGTAGTAGTAGCAGTAGTATGTGGGTCAATTATTATTGGCCTGCATACATACTACGCATAAATGCAGTGATAGGAAACTGAGCAAAGCTATTGTGTGTTTCCCTTATATTCCTAAAACCTTGTGGTTATGCTTTGACCGACTGGATAATTTTATAATCTCAAAGATCACCTTTTTCCCACGACAAGGCGTACTTACAGTTTGCTTAATTCAGTAACAGGTATTCCAACAGGCCCGCGACATTTTGATGTTTCAAATCAGTGGTACGTTTCAAACCGCAATAAGCCCGAGGGCTTAGCCGCATTATTCTCTCAAAAAGCTCCAAAGCTCAAAGGATTTCGGCAAGCAGCCCTTTCTTAACTTCATTTAAATTTTTGTTGAGCTTTATAGTATCTCGGAAGGAGGGCTCTTTGAACTCTGGTTTTAATCAAAAGACAAGTAGGACAGACTTTGAGCGGGGAAATACATGATATAAAAATAACACCTGTTATCAGTTCTTCAAATCGTATTATGCCACCCCGAGGCTGCTCTAGCATTTTATCACTTTGTTTTGCATTATCAATTGATACGTAAACCAGTACGTGTCAGATTTTAATTTGTGAACTTAACGTGCAGACAACCCGTGGCTTCTCTCCACCCAGCTGTGATAGTCCGCCCCTTTTTGTCCTCTTTGCCTTGTTGTGATGCCAAGCACAATTTATTTATTTATTTATTTTAAATGCCCTTTTTAAATGTTGTTCTGTGTTGAAACAGGCACAGGACGGACCTAAGAAAGTTAGTCACGCTTGGCCGACCGGTAAGGTTTTGAAAAATCCTGATGCTCAGCTTGTCATTTTAATGACAGCCGACTCAGCTGTCAGGTGTGAAGACAAAATAGACCCGTGCCCGGACACATTCAAAGTGTCACAGAAGCCAATGACTCAGCTCTGCCTAGTGATCTGCCTGTTTGCTTTGATCCCAGACTTAAGAAATATAGTTCAAAGCTGGTTTATGAACTGATTTTAACACCCAAAATTTGCATTGTATTGATAGGTCTACTAACCAAGTGAGTAAACAACTAAGTGAACAACCCTAATGGAGATGACAGTAATATTGAAGTTGCTCCAATATGTGTTCATAACTGAAGAAACAAAAAAAGAAAGAAAGAAATATATATAAACTTTACTGGGCGGAAAATCTACTCTTGTAATCCCCCCCCCAAAAAAATTCAGTTTAAAATTATATAACTTAAACTGTTTGCAGAAATTATTGAAGAGGTGGAAAAAGTACCCTATCAGCAATTTTACTGAAAAATAATTTCAACCTTTATTTCAGTTTTAACCATCAGCAGCTCCACTGGTTTGTAATCCAGTAGCCTCAAGCGAAAATACTCAAAGTTTCTGATAGAGTTAAGCCTTGTTATTACTGGCATTAATCACAGGTTATTCAAAAAGCGCGTATAGCGCCGTGCGACTTTAAGCTGGGGATAAAAACGAATTTGTAACCGACCTTTTCCGCAGCAACCATTTTGACGTGAAGCAGTGTACAAACACAGCCGCTACTAATGACATTAATGAAGATTTTGTAATTAGTAACACCTGTAGTTACTTACCACGTCGTGTCCAAATGGCTGCTGTAAAGGTTTAGGCTATATAAGGAGAGACTCAGTCTTAAGGTTAACGAGAGCGCACGTTTGCACAATGCAAACGTATTAAATTAGACAATAAATATATATTTACGAGTAGATCTATGATTGCTATAATTTGACTTAATATAGCCTAAATTAGGTTTACGTTTTTATTCTACTCTGAGCAAGACTGTTTTTAAAGTGATCAGTGTAAGAAAGACCCTCCGTAAGTTTACTTTTCTGTTAGTCTTCCACTGATGTAGATATTAAACGAATAAATTTAGTCTTTTTAATAAGTGCATTAGAATTATAAGTTTACATTTTACATTAGCCTTTTCATATGCTTGGATATTATTGATGCCGTAGTTCACTCAAACTCAAACATGGTGCAATTTAAATTCCTTTTATATTCAGGTTAGTTTAACTGGAAGCTACTAGTTAAATCAGCGAAGGTTAAAAGATAATCCACAGGCCTCCGTCCTGTCCAAGCAGGATGTCAACCAATTTGCATTCGTTTCTCACCCTTATTTCTCACTCCGTGGCCTCTCGCACGCAACAATCTCCCAATGCTACCTGCGCCCTCTGACAGGGACCTGATCTTCAAGGTGGTTTTTGACAAAACAGGGAGCTGATCTGCAAGGTGACTTTTACGGGAAACCCTGTGAAGCTTCTGATATTTGAAAGTTGCCATTTTATACCCTACAGCTGTAATTAGTCAGGCTTGTTAAATTTAATGACAGAGGTGGAAGTGCATGAATTCATTGTTCAATTTTTTAAGAGTGTGGCTGTAAAAACGGACTCTAGGCTAACCTATATTAAGATGAAGTGAGGCTGATCGTCTATCGAGCTCTGTGAGGAGTGTGTCGGGACTCAGGCCCGAACAGCACCAGCCCAATTTGACTCCTTGTTATTGTGGGAAGTAATAAAACAAAAGCGATAAACACGATACAGGCTTGGTCAAATTAGATCATCTGTAAGAGGAAAATACAGGAGGCAGCCAACTCACCCTCCAGTCTATCCTCTCCAGTACAGACATCTGCAAGGCTCCAGTCGCAGTAATCCCGCTGAGCTGCAGCGAATGAGTGAAACCATGAGTTTTACATTGCCGACTTCACCTGACTGCTTTGCAGTACGCATGCGCACTCTAGTGAACTGCACCTGAGTGGACAAATCAAAATTTATCGCCAAACCGTTTATGGAAAATTGCATATACGGTTCTGTGTAAAACAACGTGTACATTAATTTATTAATATGAGGAAAGCTGGTACGAAAGACGTAAAAAAAAAAAAAACACTGAGGAAAATAAACATACTGATCCACAAAATTAGACTTATAACCGAGACAGTACTACAGTAAACTTATCATTGCATTCTAGTTTTGAGTGTAAAAAAATAAAAATAAAATGAAGTTACAGAGGATAAAATTAATGAATACGTGGAAAAAAAGAAGTATGGAAAATTCAAGATAAGGCCATTCCAGCCCAGCCCTAAAGCCACAGCGCCTCGGGGTGACCACAAGAATCTGCTTTCAAAAGCCACTGAAGCTTTTTAAGGTGTATATCTGTTATCTGATCTCCAGAAGATTTCAGCTTAAACTAAAGAACAGATCAAAGTGTCTTTGCTGTGTGGTTAAGAATGCAGCTGATATATCTTCATCTCGGGAGGGGGGAAAGACGTCTACCTGTGGTCTGACACCTGTTTAATCGATTTTTAAAAAATGGTGGAATGACACATTTTCCCCAGATTCATTTAATTCCAACAATAAGACCTTAATTTAAAATCGTGTGCTACTGTTAAAAAATAAAGATTTTCTAATATATACATTTTGTTGTTACGTTCTTGAGTAAAACAAAAATTAAGCGTGGAGGGGGAAAAAAATCTACAATTTAGCAAATCTGACGTTATGTGTTGGTGAAATAATTCAAACCAATATTAGCAAACAATAAATTGTTCCGTGTAGTTGGTATTTATTATATTTTTCCAAAAAAACACAACAAAACACCAACTTAGTTTTATTATAGTCCCCCATGACCACTAAAGAGGCCTAAATAATAAATATAATTTTTTTTTCATTCGCAAGTCTTTATTATAACTATCAACTAAATTAAAATGAGCTTGTTTCCTAATCAGTGTTGAATGCTTTGTTTGATAAAATGCCGCACTAAGTGATCCAAACGTGAAAGAAAGAAAACCGCAGACTACCAGGAAAATCTCTGGATGGAAACAGTTCTGTTATTCTAAAGTTTTAGCCACCATAATTTGATCATTTGTGGTGTAACGAGAAGCATGCTTTGTACACCCTTTGTATGCTGTTTTCTTTACGCCTAGTATAAAATCTCAGCGCAGTACTTGTGCCTGTGCTGTCACCTAGGGGCCGCATCTTTTCATTACCACAGGACTGCAGTAGTAGCCTGTTCTGTAGTGGCTGTGGAGTAAGTAGCTACTCTGGGTGGACCTATTCAGAGATCAGCTCAACATATTACGTCTACGGTACTTAATTTTCAGTTATTTAAGTTATTTAGGCATTTACATTACATGCCATGATTACTTCAGCAGTGAGAAAAATAGCTTATTGGCTATATTACTTTTTATTGCCATTTTCACATATGTGTGTGTAAGAATGATTGTTGCAGAGGTAGTACTGTATAGCAGATGGCACTAAAAGCAACCAATAAAATGTTGAAGATAAAAAGTTTTTACATTTTCTGGATCAGACAAGTCAATCATCTAATTGCAACCCAATCGTGCGTTTCCCTATATGGAAAATTAGAAAGGAAAAACCCGGCAAACATTAGCTCAGGATGCAGTAAAAGTCTGACAGAGTATCACAAAGCAAGAAAGACCATATTTAACATTCACAGGTTCTGGATATCAGCTGTTGATACCAGAGGTTTCTCAGAGTATTTTAGTACCATCAATTTGTCCAGTTTTTATAAACCTTAACTTTGTACAGTCAGGGAAAAAAATATTTGAATCCCTGCTAATTTTATGAGTTTGCCAAATAACAAAGAAATGATCAGTATATAATTTCAATGGTAGGTTTATTTGAACAGTGAGAGACAGAACATTAACAAAAAAAATTCCACATTTCAGTAAAGGTATAAATTCCTTCGCATTTTCATGAAGGAAACAAGTATCAGCAAGATTTCTTAATACAGGTAATGAGTTGACATTAGGAGCCTTCTCAACTCGTTACCTGTATAAAAGATAGCTGTCCATAGCAGCAATCAATCTATCCAGATTCCAAACTCTGCACCATGACCAAGACCAAAGAGCTTTCCAAGGATGTCAGTGGTCCAAGGATGTGTGGACCTAATGGGCTACAAGACCATCGCCAAGCAGCAAGGTGAGAAGGTGACAACAGTTGGTGTGATTATTAGCAAATGGAAGAACCATAAAATAACTGCCAGTCTCCATCGTTCTGGAGCTCCACACAAGATCTCACCTCGTGGAGTTTCAGTGATAATGAGAATGTTGAGGAACCAGCCCAGAACTACTCAGAAGGAACTTGTCAATGATTTCAAGGTAGGTGGGACGATAGTCACCAAGAAAACAGTTGGTAAAACACTAAGAAGTGAAGGACTGAAATCCTGCAGTGCCTGCAACGTCCCCCTGCTCAAGAAAGCACATATGCAGGCCCGTTTAAAGTTTGCCACTGAACATCTCAATGATTCAGATGAGGACTGGGGGAAAGAGTTGTGGTCAGACGAGATCAAAATTCAGTTATTTGGCATCAACTCAACTCACCATGTTGGGAGGAGGAGAAATTCAATTCAATTCAATTTTATCAATTCAATTTTATTTATATAGTGCCAAATCACAACAACAGTCGCCTCAAGGCGCTTTATATTGTACAGTAGATCGTACAATAATAGATACAGAGAAAAACCCAACAATCATATGACCTCCTATGAGCAAGCAACAGTGGGAAGGAAAAACTCCCTTTTAACAGGAAGAAACCTCCAGCATAACCAGGCTCAGGGAGGGGCGGCCATCTGCTGCGACCGGTTGGGGTGAGAGAAGGAAAAC